TGGCACCAGGGGCCGTTGGCACTAACCCGAAAACTCGGGGACACCGCATCGAAAACACTCAAGACTCGGTTGCATTATACATCTCGAAGTCCCAGGTCATTCCAGAATGTTTCATCTAAATCCGATAGATCTGACTAGCGCTCCATCGTGTATTTTCGGCGATCAGAGTATTTCTCATAGTCCTCCCTTGGTACATCGTTCGAGGAGCCCGCGGTCCGTTACCATTCCAATATCCTGATCGAGAGAATCCTCGATAGTCGACGAATTCTCGACCATGAGCAATTCCGTTTTACATCTGCGGTTCCGCACACATCGGTCTCAGAAAGTGAGAATTCATTCCGGGGCATGTCGACACCGCGCGACACGGGATGTGTTGGCACCGCACGATCAGGGCCATCTGACGCTATCGACGCACATTCTGAACGAGCTCCCCTCAAACTTGAGGTGGCATGTGCTTAGGTTCAGCAATGTGTCCAACTTCCTTGCGGGAGTCATGTGAAATTTCGGGAGCATCGCTCCAAAGACGAAAGAGTTCGAAAGAGAAAAGGCTTCGAGAGTTCAGGATGGGGAATCGAGGGCGTCGTGTACTTTAGATCAGACGTCGGAAGCGTCCACGGGGGAAAGTTCATTTAGCAGCCGAATCGATCTTAATGTAAATAAGGAACTTTGTCTTCCAAACGTTCTCCACGCATTGGTGTGACGTGCACGATCGAAGCCAGTGTAGGTATTCATCAGAAGCGTCAGAGTCATGGTCAGAAATCGAGTGAGGAAGACATCTCGCGCAAGCGTGCCAGCCGACGTCGTGCGGCGTGCGGTGGAGGCCGTTCGCCGAGAGGGGCAAACTTTCAGAGAAACATCTGAGCAGTACCAGATACCTCTACGTTCATTGAAAAGGTATTGCAAGACCTCCGACGAGTCCGGGGACGTCCGAGTAGGTTACGAGAAGCGGCGCCAAGTCTTCGATGGCAAGCAAGAGGAAGAACTCTCGGCCTATATCACGAGGGCGTCCGACATCTACTTCGGGCTAACTCCAAGGGATGTGCGAAAGTTAGCGTTCAAAGTGGCCGAATTCTACAAATGTGACTTTCCGCCATCCTGGGCCTCAAACGGTATGGCCGGCCCCGACTGGTTTTCCGCTTTTCTGAAGCGGAATCCCAGCTTGTCGATTCGAGTCCCCGAAGCAACAAGCTTATCAAGGGCGACATCTTTCAACAAAACCAATGTTTCAAGGTTTTTTGACTTGCTTGCCGAACTCTACGGGCGTCATAAATTCGGACCAGGCGACATATGGAACATGGACGAAACGGGGATAACGACAGTGCAAAGACCGGACAAGGTGGTGGCACGTCGTGGAATCAAGCAAGTAGGAAAGGTGACTTCGGCAGAGAGGGGAACGCTCGTCACGCTCGCCTTGGCCGTTTCCGCGACGGGGAACAAAGTTCCACCTTTTTTCGTTTTTCCCCGAGTCCATTTCAAGGATCACTTCCTGCAGTCTGCTCCAGCGGGGAGTATCGGATGCGCGAATCCTTCAGGCTGGATGAAAGAGGACAATTTCGTGCAGTTTGTCACACATTTCGTCAAACATGCAAAACCAAGCGTGGCACATCCATGTTTGCTTCTATTAGACAATCACCAATCGCATCTGTCCGTCGAGGCTCTCGACTTCCTGCGCGACAACGGCGTGATTGCCCTTTCGTTCCCGCCACACTGCAGCCACAAGCTGCAGCCGTTGGATAGGTCCGTGTACGGTCCATTAAAAAAATACGTCTACACAGCCATAGATGCATGGATGAAAAACCACCCGGGATCGACTCTTACCATATATGATATCCCGGGTGTTGTATCCACTGCACTCCCGAGAGCCGCCAGCGAGGAGAACATCAAAGCTGGATTCGCAGTTAGCGGGATTTCACCTTTTAACCGCGAAATTTTCACCGAGAAAGACTTCGCACCGTCCTACGTGACAGACCGTCCCCCGGATGATTCGGCAACTACCGATCCACAGAGAGCTCCGAGAACCTCGACGTCGACGCCAGCACCGCCGGAAGATGTAGTCCGCGCCGAAACATCCTTGGAAACGCTTTTCCCGTTACCGAAAGCCGGACCTCGTAGATCAACTCGGAAAGGTAGGCCAAAAAGATCGGCCGCAATACTGACCGACGAGGCTATGCGAGCAGCCCTTGTCGAGGAGCGGAATCGCAGCGCAAGTCGTGGAAACAAGGGAACCAAGAAGAAACGACCCAACGGCCGATAACGGCCGATTTTTCGAAAACTCACTCTCCGATTCCGAATGTCTTATTTTCAAAACATAGGTAGCCTTATCGTTATGATTTATAAATTATTATCAACCAATCTGTCACGGAGAAGCCTTTTGACTATATCTAGGTGCCTAAGGCGATTATCTCATTTAGAAATTTGCCGAATCTATGCTTTCTCATTGAATTGAGCTCGTTTGTCTCACAGTTCCGCTTCGGTGCCAAGATGTCCCGCATGCGGGGCTCATAGGCACTAAAACGGATGATCACCCGAGAGTCTGGCAATGCGCTAAGGGAGCCACCGAATTCAATTCTGTCCCTGCGCGGTTGCAGTCCACGGGAGTCCCGACTAGGAAGCTAAAATTGGTTGATTTGGATGGGCTGTGGATAGCGTTACTTCGAAAAGAAAGGCGAATCAGGTGCCAACATGCCCCGGTCACCCCTACTGTCTCAAAAGTTTTCAGAAGTCAGTGTTTCACTTGAGTTGATTACACTTGTTTGCATGATAATTATACTTAAATATGTAAGCCAAGAAACCCTGATCTAATTGATACAGAAAAAGACTGAATAGTCTTTTTCTGGAGAACTCTTTACGTTTTTTCACTGTAAGGGTCTATGGAACCCGGACGGTATATAAGGCACACTGAAATAAACATCAGACACAGATTCTTCTGTCACACGCAATCCTTGCGTCCTCATTCTTGAGAAGCACCTTCCCTGCCAGCCCTCGACCCTCGGAGATCATCAGAACATTGTGCCGAAACAACTCTAAACTCCGGACAACGGACTCCTGCCGAACTGAGCACCTGCTCTGTGAGCTAACACTCACTGGGATCCTCTCGGATTCCTAACAGTGTACCCTGATGGTGAGAGACCGGTAGCGTATGCCTCGGCGTCATTATCCGACGCTCAGAAGAAGTATTCAACCGGAGAAAAAGAGGCTTTGGCTTGTCTGTATGCCATAGAAAGGTGGCATGCATTTTTGTGGGGAAGGAGATTCAAACTCCGAACGGATCATCAGGCACTCGTTAGTCTTCTTGGGGCGAAAGGGACCGGGCGGGCCCCCATGAGGATAGCGCGATGGCTAGAGCGGTTGCGTACGTATAATTTCGATGTAGAGTACAGAGCAGGGGCAACGAATCTCGTACCAGATATGCTCTCGAGATCACCGCTCGCCGATTCGTATTCCGCTACTGGAGCGGAGGATGAGTTGGTGGTGGCGACGTTGAGCGAGAAGCTCTTGCCAATCACGTGGACGGAAATCCCTACCGAGACGACGGAAGACCCAGAACTCGTGCGAGTTAGGCAATGGCTAGAAGAGCGGAGACCCGATATAGATATGAAGCATTGGAAGAGCGTATTCGAATTGTCGTTAGAGCACGGAGTTGTGTTAAAGGGAGAACGGATCATAGTACCGGAGACGCTCAGATATCGAGTTTTCAGTTTAGCACACGATGATGCACATCAGGGTGTAGTGAGAACCAAGCAGCGTTTGCGAGAACGGTTTTGGTGGCCTAGCATGGACCGTTTCGTGGAAAACGCGCTTCAAGAATGTCCGATCTGCAGAAATCATGATAAGGCGGTTCAACTCTCCCCGAGTCCAATCACGACTACGCCATGGCCTAGGCGACCATGGGAGAGGCTGGCCATTGAAATAACGGGCCCGGACAATACCTTGGGAGCTCGTAATCGTTTCGCAATCGTGATTATTGATTATTTCTCGAAATGGGTGGAGGTAGAGTTCGCGGCAGAGTTGACGGCAAATCGAGTGGTGGCTATGCTGAGGAGATTGTTCAATCGAGAGAGCATTCCGGAAGTCATTGTGAGCGATAATGGAGAGCAGTTCATCAGCCGTGAGTTCCAGTCATATCTGAGCGCTTCCGGAATGGAACATATGCGAACGCCAGTGTACCATCCACAAGCGAACGGGTTGGTTGAAAGATTCAATCACACGCTCGGAAATTTCTGCAGCACAGCTAAAGAAAAAGGCGGAGATTTTCTGAGCAGGATGATCGAGATGATTGGGGCATATAATGCGACTCCCCATGCGACGACAGGCTGTGCCCCGGCGAAACTCCTGCACGGCCGGGACATGCACACGAAACTCAATGTCAGAGGAAGACCACTCACAACAAGCGAAGATCAATCTCTGGTTGCTGTCCATCATAGAGTGAAACGTTACCAGGAAGCTCAGAAACGTTATATAAATGAACGTAGACGAACAAAGACCTCAAAGGTGGAATTAGAGGTCGGTCATAGCGTTCGAGTACGCAAGCCCTTGGTTACGAAAGGACACAAGAAGTTCTCGGACCCACTGAAGATTCATGGAAAAGTGGGGCGAAGCTCCTTCAGATTGGAGGACGGAAATGTCTGACACCAGAATAGACTGGTTCCTGCGGCGGAAGAACCCGAAGAGGTTCAGGAAGTAAATAATACCGATGTGAAACAAAGTCATCAGGAGGCATCACCGAGAGAAACAGATTCAGCAGCGGATAATCAGAAAGAACTTCCACGGGCAGAAAGTGCGTCACCAGCTGAGGACTCATTGAAGATGTGGACGGATGCCGAGAGCTCGATGGAAGTCGGAAGCGACGCCGCTGACGCCGGAGCGAGGCCTGTTTGGTGGGGGAAGACAAAGCGAATGTCCCCAGGGAAGGAGTTGAGCAAACGTCTAGCTTTAGATAGCGAAGCCGAATCTCCATCGGAAGGGGAGGAGAATGTAGGGTAGCGATGTGACGAGATGCACTTCAGGCAATGACTACTGCTAGCAGCGCCCTCGTGCGTAAGAAAAAGCCAGTAAAGGTTGCCGATAGTCTAGGCACGGTTCCAATATCGAGGTGTCTTCAATACATTTCACTAGTCCACTCAGGGGCAGAGCTAGGAAAAATAGACGAAAAATGGCAAAAAATCGAAAAATTGAATTTTCGGAAAAACTGGACCTGATGCAGTGTGGGGCAAATTTTCGCCGTGAATATGATTATGATTTTACCGTAATCATACGCTTGAGTATGATTATAACCGTAATCATAATCACACGCGTGATTTTAATCATAATCATAGTCATAATCACAGAAATCACCGTAATCACACGCATCTGATCATGATTATAATCATACGAATGAGTGTGATTACGGTAGAATCATAATCATAATCACGGCGAAAAACTGCCCCACACTGACCTGATGGGGGAAATCTGTTACGGAAATTCGGTTGCAGCGCCCCCGATTTACCCCAAAATAGCTATCACATTCTTTGTAACGATTTGGCTGTCGGGCTGTGCAATCCGTATCTACCCACAACTGAGGATATTCCTCCTAATCAACAAGAAGATGAAAGGTCTGACTCAATTAATCAACCGCTAGTACTGAACTAAGACGATGCGAAAACGCCACCAGATAATCAAGGTCATTCTTGATAATTATTGTCAAAGTTATATCGAACCCTAACCACTCGAGAGACGACACGATCGTTACGAGAACCTGAGCGGAACTGGCGCTCCCACAAGATGGCGCGGCTACTCATGTTTATTAAGCACGGCGGTATAATTCAAATGCTGACAACTCTCCCCTTTTTCAGAACAATATCACGATTTCAGACGAATATCTCTGATCTATCTGAGTATTTACAGTATTATTTTGTCGGGTCGAATCTTCTCGGAGGCACCCCCGCTGTCGATCTGTGGGAGTGTCTGGGCTCGGGTGGTTCTTCGAATGGACGTGTGGGGATTCCCCCGAGGGCATCTTCGAAATGCCCGAGTTCAGCCTGGTCGTCGTCGTTCAAACTCGACTCAATTGATTCATTTTGGTGGCTGTTGTTCCGAGTGGGAAAAATCGGCTTCGGTTCGGTTATGTCGTCGGCGACTAGCAATGCTGGATGTAAACCAACCTCTGACGTTTCAGTCGTACCATTTGACTGATCAGTCTTCGATGGCCGCATCTGATTGAAGTGCCGTCTCCATATTCCGACCGATGTCCTCACCAGGGCCGCCTTCCGTCCCCGGAGTTTCACGATGCTGCCAGGGGTCCACTGGTGACGTCCCTGATAAGATCGGGCCACAACCCGCATTCCAGGCTTGAACTTGCTTTTTTGTTTCGTCGAATTCGTCAGAACTTGACTCTGGTCGCTCCTTCAACAAGTGGAGTCTTAATTGACGACCAATCATTCTCTTCGCAGGAGTTTCGTTCGTTAAGGCGTTATTAACCATCCGATGACTGAATAGGAATCTCTGCACGGCGGTGCGAAGATCCGTCTCGCCCCGGTCATGATTTTCTTCAATGCTTGCTTTGTGGTTTGAACATATCGTTCCACCTGACCGTTGGAGGCTGGATGGTAGGCTTGCGAGGTTTTATGAAGAATTCCATTTGTCTTGCAGAATGCGTTGAACTCATGAGAAGCAAACGTCGGATCATTGTCGGTAGCTACCACCTTCGGTAATCCGAAACGAGCTATCACTTTTCTCAGGTGTCGCAAGGTGCTCTGGGATGTTTTTGTTTTCGACATGAAAACGTCTAACCTGTTGGTATGAGCATTGACAAGGAGTAATAGGTAGCGTCCATCTATCGGTCCGGCATAGTTCAGGTGGACCCGGTCGAGAGCGTTTTCTGGTTCCCTCCAAGGGTGATAAGACTTCACGGGAAGTCTGGCATGTTGAGCGCAGGCTGTGCATCGTTTCGCAACTTCCTCTATGTCACGGTTCAGAGTCTCCCACCAGATGTGTATTCTTGCTAGCTCTTTCATTCTGTCAGCTCCAAAATGTCCCTCATGGAGCATTTCTAACACATCGAGACGGCGATCGACAGGAATCACCACTCGGTGTCCGCGGAATATAACTCCTTCGAAAACGATAAATTAAGATCTCTCCGCTCGCCAGTGCCTTCCTGGTTTGGCATTCGAACCATGAAGCCACTTTTGGAGTCGGCACAGAACCGGACATTTTCGAGTCGATTCAGCGATTACGCGGAGATCTGGGGAACGCTGTCGCCTATTTCAAGAGAGAATA